ATAAATCAATTTACTCACTTCTGAGGATGAGTCTTCCAACAAAAAACCACTCCCCTTTTCCAACAATCCAAAAGGGGCTCTCTTCATAAACAAAACACCCTCTCTTCCAAAAATTGCGAGGGGTCTCGCCATAAAACAATACATTTCCTCTTCCAGAAATCACGAGGGTCTCATCATAAACCAAACACCCCCTCTCTCAAAGTCACGAGGGGTTTCGTTACATCACAAAACATTATAAAACATCCCCCCCTTTTCCAAAAATCTAAGGGGGTCCCATCATAAAACATAACATCACTGAGAGACCATCTTATGGGTCCTCATCACAACTTAGATAACTTTCACAGACGGACTGCGCTTCCTCCTCTTATACTCTGCCTTATCAGCTGTCGTGGGCAGGTCGCACAAGTATACCGAGGAGTAGACAGTTTTACTTACAATCATATTCACAATACCCAAGATACATAAAAGGTTTTTCACACATTGTCCACACAAACTCATCATACATCAGAGTACAACCACACATGTGAGAGAGACAAGTGATCGTCACATATAAGAATGGTCCCTGAAGGAAACCTCATCATAATATACACTCAGGGAGTATAATGTCTCACACAGAAAGTGTCTCCAAATCATAGCTTGCTCAACTCAAGCCACACCAAACCCACACTGACTACTATCCCTAGAATACACGTCAGATCTGTCTCTCAAAGGCCAGGGCGTAGGCCACCTAAATATGTACATGCCTCATCTGAACCACCCTGACCCTCAAAACCCCAATTCAGTAGAAACACTAGAGTTCAGATCTAAATTAACAGCAATCATCAAAATGTCTTTTAAGTCTAAGAGGGTATCACACAGAACCTAACTTGATGCCTCACAAAATGCTCGCTCACTTATATAGACAAAACCGAGCCCTACCTTCTCAACTCCTACTGGTTTTGCCTATATAACTGAGCCCTAAATCCATCTGCGGACTTCTCTACTATCCTACCCTGTCTATCATACATTTTACCCTCTACCTCTGAGATCTTCCCTGCTGCCTTATCCTCAAGAAACTCGAGACAGTCCAAAGCCAGATGCACGTCCCTTTTGTAGTAAAAACATAGCTGATCTACCTTTCTCTTGAACTTCTTCTTCCTGGGCTGAGGAGGTGGCGATGAAGGAGATCCCACGAAGGTACTGACAACCCCCTGCTGCTCTGCTTGAGGAGCTGCGGTACTAGCGACCTCCTGCTACTCTATCCCAGGAACCGGTCCACCAGACCCAGATCCAGTAGCCCAAGATCCTAGTCTGCCTCTCAAATCCTCTGTCGCTGGGACGTACTCGGGCGTGTCCAACCTCTGAGGCCTCCTCTCGAGTGTCGCCTCTGGCACTGCCGTGGGCTGCTCTTCAATCTCCTATGGTCCATACTCAGGTGTGCCTATCCTCTGGAGTCTGCCCTTGATGGCACCCTCCTCCTCAATCCCCATCTCTCTCTCAAGAGGCACCTCTATCCTCTGCTCAGGTGAAAACAAACTCACCTCCTCCTGCATAGTATGCACCGCCTCAAGGAGCACGCCCATGGATTCCTCTACTGAGCCCTGAGCCGGCTCACTGCTAGATGGTGGCAGCCCCTCCTCTACTGCCAAAGGTACGACTGAACCCGCCGCTGCTACTCGCAGTGTCACGAGCTCGGTAGGGGCTCTGAACTCGAACGCCTCTCTCTCCACCTGTCTCTGTGCTCTCGTCTCCTCTGACTCCAGGATAACCCTCCCCATAGGTGGCTCCTGGCGAGGCTCTGTCGCAGATGGTTGTCCTGACAATCCCTGTCCCGGCTGCCTCTGCTCTCCCTGCCGGCTGCTCTCTGGTCTGTCCACCTTTCCCTGGGTTTGCTGCCTCAAGCTCTCAATGATAGCTGCCTGGCTGGCCACCAAAGCCCTAAGTTCCTGAATTTCCATCTCCATAGCCTCCAGACGTACTCCATGACTGACTTCCTTCATTTTCTTCCCCGCCAGATCGCCCTCCAATAACAAGTGCCGGTCAAAAGTGGTCTTGGCCAGGAACTTGATTTTACGATCTAACCTTTTTTTCCGCCTTCCTGGCCACCCCAAACCCGGCTCTGACTGGCGATGAAAGCTCCTCTCCTCTCTGCTCCCAGAAGTCTCTCCACATCTCAGGAATCTCCGGGGCCTTGGCTGGCACACTGGGTGGCTGACCCGGGAGTGCTCCTGCTGCCTCCGATCTCTGCCTCTCCTGCTGCTGCTCCGGGAGCTCCCCCGCTGCCTCCAACCTCTGCCTCTCCTGCCATATCTCATCTATCCGCCTGGTTCGTCTCGCCCTCTTTTCTTCAGTCGTCTCTCCAGCTAGCACCCTTTTCCTCGTGCGGAGGTCGACCCTCTTTGGGATTTCTGCTTCCATGTCCTTCTCGGGCTGGCATGACTCCTGGCGTGGCTCTGCAGGTGCTGGCTCCTCCAGGTCTGGGTGCTCCAGGGCATGAGCTGCTAGGTGCCTATCAATCAGGATCCAAGCTTCTCTCCTTACAGCTGCACTCTCTCTCCTCCTTTCTGCCCTCCCTTCTGGCGAAAGAGCCTTTTCTGACGAAGGTAAAGGGGTCTCCTCTCTCTGCAACCCCTCCTTTGCCTGCCGGGTGCTCTCTGGTGCATCCCCGAGTCTCAAACCCACTGCTGGCGTCTGTGGGGGCGTGTCCCCTCCAACCTCTATCACTTCCTTCCCTGCACGTCTCCCCTCATCGCCCATCCCTCTCTCTCGCTGAGTACCCCGGACCTCTTCCTGTGGTATCTCCTCCCGTGGCATCTCCTCTCGTGGTATCTCCCCCTGTGGTACCTCCTCTCGTGGCACCTCCTCTCGTGACACCTCCTCTGCCTGCTCTCCATGCCCCTCACCCTGAAGCGACGCCCTCCACCGAGAAATATCTAAATGCATCTCCAATTCCCTCAAGGGCCCCTCTGACGCTGGTGGCTCCCCCTGTGTGTGTGCTGGCGATCTCCTCAATCCACCCTCGGTAAAACGACGGAACTCCACTGGTCCCAACCCACACTCAGGGTATGCCCCCCGCTCCTCATCCTCTGGCTCCTGCTCTCTCCTGGCTAGGGCCTTCCGTCCTCCTCGAGATGGTCTCGCCTCCCTGGGCTCAAGGTCCCTCGGCCTCTGACTCCTCTGCCGCCTCTCGACTTTGGGCTGAGGGAGCTTTGGCCGTCGAAAGGCCTCTCTCAAATGTGCCCTGCARCTCTCCCAATCTCGTGCCATGTCCTTGATCTTCATAACCAGTGGCCTTTCCGCCTTCCTGGTCCAGAGTGGTAGCGTCTGCATCCAATCATCTCTCGGTATGCCCTGCTCTTGCATGAACCACTCAAACGCGGGGATGAAGTCCGACGCATTTCCAATCTCCAGGCGGATCGGCCTGCCATCAGGTCCCACAGGCGAGGGTCGCAACTCCTCCATCCTYATCTMCACCTCYTGCCTCGTCGTCGCCTCCCTACGAATCCTGGCAATGGGCTCTTCGAGCCTACCTGCTCCCCTCAATCTCTCAATCGCCTGAGCGACGGTCCAGCCCATACGCCTCTCATGCTCCCAGAAACTGTCTAGGAATAGCTCGATGTCCCCATCATTGTAGACTGGAGTACTCTCTCGATGGCGAGGCCCATGCCGCTCATATCCTCCTGATGCGCCCAACGGCCTCTGAGGCGGCCATGTCCCCTTCCCTCCTCTTGGCATGGCTGTCTTCGTAAAGTCAGACTTGCACAACAGGCGAAGGAGACAACAGGCACACGTTGGGGTAAGCAAGCAGGTGATAATCAGAGCAAGCTCAGACCAGACCACACTTATGCAGCATGCATCCTTCCTAACCTACACACCCTGTTACTTCTATTCTAAAGGCGGCCAGGTCATCTGTCTTACCTCTTCTCTCGCCACAAATTTCTTCAGTCGCGTTCCAGATACCCAATCCTTCTACTCAGTCTCATTTAACTCCTCGATCTGGTACGCTCCGAAGTCTCCGACCCGTGCGATTCGGTAGGGACCTAACCATCTCTTATCGAGTTTCCTGGACCACTGCTTCTCCAGCGATGTATCGTAGAGAAGCACGACATCCCCGACTGCCAAGGGTACTTTCCTCACTCGTGCAGACTGATCCCATCGGGCCTTATCATCCATACGGCTTCTCGCCACCTGATCAGATGCCTCCTGGATCCTTTCTTCTATCGCCCCGACCTGCCGCGCCCGAATATGGAGCAACTCTTCAAATGACAGGTTAACTTTCAGATTCTGGCGCCTCCATATCTTAAGAAAGCTTTCAATAAAGAAGGTGGCATGCCTTCCGTACCACAGCGTCGCAGGTGCGTACTTGGTGGATCTCTTTACTGTAATGTTCTCGACAAAGAAAGCCGCCCTTAGGTATCTTGGCCATTGATTAGGCCTACCTTCGGTCCATTTGGCCAGGAGATTCGTAATGGTACTATGTCCTCTCTCTACGGGAGCATTTGCCTGGGGGTGCGCGACTGTAGTGTAGTTGGCTGCCACACCATACCTTGATAATAGTTTTTGCACCTCCTGGCAGGTAAATTCTGATCCCCTGTCCATTACGAATTCCCTGACGAAAGGATAACGCAGGTAGTACTTCTCGATGCAGCTCACCAGGACTGACCCGGTCTTTGTGCGAGTAGCACGCCCGTCTACGAACCCAGACAGGTTATCGCGCACATCGAAGATATAGTTATAGCCTTGATCCCCAAGTGGCATAAAAAGTAAATTGAGATGCACTACAGCCCCCACCTCTTGCTCTAGCCTGGGATGCAGCGGCTCTCCTTGCCTCAAACGGGATCTTTCCTGACAAGGTACGCAAGATCGGCAGAACTTTCCGACCATATCCATCATCCCATCCCAGTAGTACAACTCACTTATCTTGGCATACGTGGCTTGTACCCCTCGATGTCCYCCTGCAATACCATCGTGAAGCGCTGCTACGACGTCGATCTGACGATTCCTACCGCAGACGACTCTCCTGGGATTCCCCACTTCCCTTCTCACGAAAAGGTGACCGTCTCACACTAAGTAGCGCTGCAGCATCCTTTGAGCTCTATCGCTCGCATCTCTTAGCCGCATTTCACATGGCAGAAGAAGCCCCAGCTCTAGGTAGATCCCGTCGTACTCCTCTACACGAAAAGCTTCCTTAATTTTCCCTTCTTGAAACTCGTCGTCCTGACTCTCGGGTATTTCGTCCACATTCCCTGCCGGGTTCAACGAGCCTGACTGGTCTAGGCTTTCCTGCAATAACGTATTGACGAGGAGATACATTCCTCCCATCAGGTCCTTATGCCGTTCTACCTGGCCAGGTCCTTCCTCAATCGTCCTCATATCCTCCACCAGGCTATGCGAGCTGGCCAACGCTAATTCCATCATCCATTAAACATCCTTACCGCCCCAGGGATCCTCTTTTTTAAAGGGTTTGAGGACCAGCTCGGTCCTCCTTTCATATCCGCTCGGCGCTTGCCAAATAGGATAGCCTACACAGCTGGGCACTCGCGGCGACCACTTATTGATATGAAGACGAATATCTTCTTCCTGATCCAGAAATCCATCAACTGGGGGCGTATTCTCCACCGCCTCCCCTTTCTGCTTATCCCAGTTGATTCGACTTAGCCCGTCTGCTCGGTTTTTACTACCAGAAATCCGTTCTAATTCGAAATTGAACATTCAAATGTACGTCAACCATCTGGCAATCGTCGGATCCGATGGAGCGTAATTTCTTAGAGAGTAGGTCAGGGCGGTCGGATCCACTCTCAAAATAAATCTCCTGCCGAAGACATAGTTCCGGAAGATTCGCAGACAGTGGAGGACATCAAGGGTCTCCCTCTTGAACTGAGAGTAGTTCCTCTCTGTCATACTGAGAGTCCGACTCTCAAATCGCAAGGGTCTTTCCTTTCCTTCCATGTTTGCCTGTATTATAACTCCCCCTAAGGCGGTCGGTCCCGCATCCGTTTCGACAATGAAGGGTCGTGTCTCTGTGGCGTCATAATCTGGCGCTCCTAACACCAACCCTCCTTCTCGAAATTCCTCTTTCATTTTTGCCACCACCTCATCTTGTTCCTCACCCCATACCCATTCCTGATCCTGATGGACTAACTTCCTCAGGTGTTGAGTCTTAGCGGCAAAGTTCTTGACGAAGGCCCTCCAAAATCCACACGTACCAAGGAAGCTCCTGACATCAGTTATTGAGTGGAACGGAACTGGCCACTCAGTAATCTTGTCCGTCTTCTTCACATCCGGCCTTCGGCCCTTCTCATTGCAGACTATCCCCAAGATAGTCGCTTCCCTCATGCAGTGTCTCGATTTGGCCCCGCTTGCCGTGAGGTTATGCTCTTCGAGCAGGCTCAGGACCTTTTCGAGGTCCTGGATGTGTTTACAGACAAAGCGCCTTACCCCTGGTGAAACTTCGTCGCTCTCTTTCATCGCCGGCCCCTTAACTGCCAAATCGTCAATGTATGGCTGTGTGATATGGGGGCTGACTGACTGCATGGCCCGAATCATGGCCCGTTGGACCATTGCTACCGCGTTGGTCCACCCTTGTGGGGCCACGTTCATGTGGACTAATCCTCGCGGCGTGTGCATAGCTGTCACCGGYCTATCCGGCGGGTAGACTGGGAACTGATCGTATCCTGAGTAAAGGTCTATAAGCGAAATTATAGGCCTTCCAGCACAGGATTCCGACAGCGCGTCTGCATTCGGCAGTCCTCCAGCATCTCGGACGGTCACTGCATTCAATCTTTGCAAATTCTGCACCCACCGCAGCGTCCCGTTAGGCTTAATAAAGCAGAACCACGGGGACGCATATGGTCCACTTGAATAGTCGGCGACGTGAGTACATATCTTGCCGTCGAGATAATCCACCACCTTCCTTTCCTCGTAAGGATTGGGATATCGCGCCCCTCTCATGTTCCAAGGCTCGTGTGGCACGGTGTGGATGCGGATCATAGGTATCTTATCTACATCCAGCCTGCCACGCTCCTCGTCAATAAACGCATAGGCGCGATGCTTCCTCTTCATTAATTCCACCATCAGCGTTCGCTCTTGAGGCAACAGGAAATCAGACTCCCCTATGATCAACTCCTTCTCGTTCCCTTCGTTGATACGACATGGCCCTGCTAAAGCACTTTCCCTCATTTGTCGAATCAACCCTCGTTCCCTCTCGTAGTATGCTTCCTCGTCCTCTTTAACGAGGACGGGTACCGGGCGACACTTCTTATCTACCGTCTTGTACCGCCTTTGAGAACCCTGCTTGAGCCGTCCCCTAAAAAAGGCCGACTCACGGATTGTGTTTGCGCTGATGCGGGGTTCCCTCTACTACCTGGGAGTTGATATACTAGTTTCAACCTTCCTGCCTCAGGGCATTCCAGAACTTGTTCCCTCAAGGCCTGGATGGCATCCGGATCTGCCATCTCATGCGCGGCCACCAGGTCCATGGCCTTCCCAACATCTGACAGGCTGACGGAAAATACTTCCACCCTCTCTTCTGCCTCGGGCTCTGCCCAGAGCCTCCTGCGCTCCCCTTCCAATTCCTCGATTGTGAATGATCCAGGATTGGGCCGGTTCCTTATACTCCTTGGCCCGGTATTCCTGCAAGTAATTATTTCATAATTTTTGCAGGCAGGATCGCATAAGAGGAGGATCAACGTCCCATCATGTTTGTTGAACATCACGGTCTCTGTCCTGCTTAGGAATGACCTCCCCAAGAGGATTCCATGGTCCACGTCTGGCATTATGAAAAAACATGCCCTGGCCTTCACCTTTCCTACCTCGACGAGCACATTCGAGGCTGTCCCGCAAAACATGGTCTTACAGCTAGCTCCATGCAGAATACCGCAGTCAGAACGGTCTATATCCAGCCCGAATCTGATCGCGTCCGCCTCTCGAATAATGTTCATCTCTGCCCCGGTGTCCACCATTGCTGCGCACTTGGAACCCTTCACCATCAAATCCACCGTACCGCAGGCTACGCACTTCCAGTCCATCTTCGTACCTGACTCTGCCCACTCTGCCTCCTTGGGCAGGATTGTACCCAGATGGACATTGGGCACCAGACGCCGTGATAACCTCCCCTTTAGTTCATCGCGGAGTCGCGGCGCTGACGCTAGGATTTCCTTCAGGGTCATGAGGTCATTATGCCCTTCCAGCAGCCGGTCAATCACCTTCTCTACATCAAATCCCTCTTCCAACCGGACCGCGTATTTCTTCTTTTTGGGCGGTCCGTCATGTATGACCGGTTCGGCCTCTCCCCTGGTTCCCTTTTTCCTTGCCCGCTGCTCCGCTATCTGATCCTCTTCTCTGCGCAGCCTCTCGTCCTCTKCCTCTTCATCATCGTCGTCCTCTACTTCTACAGCCTCTTTCCTTCTCCCTGGTTCGTGTTCCCCCCTTGGAGGCTCTTGGCTGGTACTGACCTTGGCTTGATTTCTCGTTCGCGCTGCCTGTGCCAGCCAGGCCTGCGGAGTGAGGGGTCTCCCCCTCATTCCTGGTTGAGGGCACGACCCCACCACATTTACTCCGGGTCGCCCAGGCGTTGACTCCGGGCCGGAGTCATAGAGGAATACTGTGGGGACATTAGACTTACATTCTTTCACTCCTTCACAGAGGCCTACCAACTCCTGTTGGTACCTCCCCATCTTATCCAGCAAGTCCTCAATCTTCTCAAATAAGACGGACAGAGGCTCCGTTCTTTCCTCCTCATTCCCGTCATCTGACTCAATGATTATGGCCTCTTCCGTCTCACTTCCTCCTCGCAGCTCTTGAGTCACTTCCTCATCACTCCCCACTTCTTCCACCCCAAACGGTGGTTTCTCCTTTTCCTGCCATAGCCTGAACATGGCAGGGAGTGGTGGCCCAGCTGCCGCTCTTCGTTGGGCTTCAGCCCTCACTCTTCCAAGCCTTCTGTCAATGGCCTCCCCAAACTGATCGTAGATATTCCCATCCATAGTAGAGGAAATCAGTCCGCTTCTCTCGTCTTCCCATGTTATATTACAGAACCTTATAGTGTGGCCCTGCTGGTCACAATGTTGACAGATGGCCATCCTCCAGCCAAAGCGGGGTCTTCCATACCCCTGACTTCCCTGATCCCCCCGGCCTTGATAGCCCTGGCCTTGGTACCCCTGGCCTTGACTCCCTTGGCCTTGGTACCCCTGGCCTTGACTTCCTTGGCCTTGGTACCCCTGGCCTTGGCCATTCCATTGCCTTCCTCTTCCGCCGCTATTCCTGCCTCGCCCCTTTCTTCCACCCCTCCCTTCACTGCCTTGATTGCCCTGCCCCTGGTTCCCACCTCCTACAACACTGCCCTGTGAACTGGGATCAGGTGACGGTGGCGGAGCCACAGGTTGGGCCTGGGCCGCGGGGTAGATGGGTGGTGGCATACTCATTTGTGGTCCGGCTACTGGCGGCGTGCTTCCCCATGGCACAATTGCGCTGATCACCAGCCAGGGCCACTGTCCATAGGAGGGCGCCCCACCTTGCGAGGGGCCCGTAGTAGATGATGGAGCCGCCACATTTAAAGGGGCTGCTGCCTGGGCCTGATGCGCCTGCGCTTTTCCTGATCCCTGTCCGCCCTGTGCCAAATTACGCACTTTGCGCTGGACCTTCGTCAGGTGCTGCGGCACGGGCTCTTCCTCTTCCCAGAGCTCCTCCTGACCAGCCTCCTCTATCACTGGCTCTTTTCCTTTTACTTTAACAGCCGTCACCACCCTCCTTTGCACCACCGGCTCTGTCGCATACCCTAGCTGTGCCAATACGTCTGTAACAATCCTTGTTACTCCTGGGGTCCCAGAAGCGGTCGCATCTCTTTCCTTTCTTTTTTGTCTTTGCAGGCGTACCTGACGTTGTTCCACCTGGTCCAAACACCTAACTTCCACCCCTCTGTCAATGGTGGCCCAGGTGAGCTTAGTGCTACCTCCTCCATGTCTCGTCAATTCGACGGCCTCCGATGTTGTAAGTAGCCCCAGGAAGATGGCGCACTGTGCTTCCTCCGAAATCTCATGGACCTTCTGCGCCCTCTTCTTAAATTCTTGAACAAAGGCCTCTATAGTCGTAAAATCCTCTTTGTTCATCGCTTCAAGGTCCGTGGTAGTCAACAACCCGTCTCCCAGGCGGTATTTCCTCTGCATCCCCTCCTTGAACCTCTCCCACCTACCTTGAGCCGCATCTATGACTTTCTTCACCTCCTGATGGTAGCTATGGAGGACATACTAAAGGATGCGTTGAAACTTTACAACATCCGACCGCCCTACCAAAGCTTGTTCTACCCGCTCTAGCCATTCTGAGACTCTCTCCCCACAGAAATGGAAAGTATCGACCTTTGGGATGTTGCTCAGGTTTCTTTCACGTCGGTCGATGGCCGCGATGAGGTCATCGAGTGTCAGACCCTTCTTGGGAACAACTGATGCGCCACCAGTCTCAGGCATCTTGACAGCCTCTTCTTTTTAAGTTCCCTGGCAAAAGAAAACAAGCACATCCCCTTTATTCAACACTATACCTTGACCGGTCTATTTCATCCGTCCTACCTAACCCTTAGTACTTACTTTACCCAATGTTAACACAATCGTCCCTCATACTTCCTCTACTTGGGTAGGTAAATTTCCTCACCTACAGTTAGTCATTCATATATTCCTTCATTACCTTCTCATCACTCCTTTATGCCTTTTCTTATTCACTTCTCATACCCGGATGTCGTTCCACCAGGGACAACGGTAGGCTTTCCGCTGTCCCCGGCAACGGCGCCACCTRTCGGGYSCATCKGTYCGGCACCGCACGGGGGCAGCGCGGGACCCTCCCGGCCGCGTCACGCAGGAGTTGGTTTTTAGAACCCTTCGTCGCAATATACATGGAGCTTCCACAAGCCACTTCGGCTGGGTGCGCCAGCCATACCTCTCGCGAGCCCCTACGACAGGATAGGGCCTACCCGAGGCACGACTTACCTACACCTTACGGGAACTGTCACCTCCCTTCGGTGGGCGTATCCCCGCCGAGTTACCAGTCCACAGTACGAAAGCTAATCAGTTGCAATCGCAGAGGTGGACTAGCCGAGGGCGTTTCTCGTTCGCTGTAGCATAGCGGGTACGCGCGGTAATGCGCCTCTACCGGACCCGCACGCGAACCGACATCTTGGGGGGGCTGAGGTCCCAAGCGCGACACATAGTCAGTAGACTAGGACGCATCCCACACACCACGCGCACTCCGCTTTACGAACACACATACACACAAAACAACATATATACGAAACGACACAATACCAACAACGCGACAATGCTACTAGCCCCTCGGTAGCCAACCCATAACTTCCCAATGCGGAAATCGGATAAGCGTCGCGCGCTGAACTTAGTCAACCCCAACCACCTTCGACACTCATACCCCTCGCTTTAGCCATGCAAGCCCCAAACCTCTTGTCCAACCAACCTTAATTAAATACTCAGCACCTTTGTTAAATGGTCATTCAATAAAATTCCGGGTGAAACCTTGATAAAACAACGAAATCACCAGGGATAAAGCCTTTTAGGTTGAGTGTAGAGGGAGAGTTGAAATTGAGTCGTAGACCGACGAATCGGCAACCAACCTGTTATCAGTGATAACAGTAAGTGATCCTCAAGGGATCAAGATGGATATAGTCATGAACTTGGATAAAATGATCAAAAGGACATGTAACACACGGCAGACCAATCCTCAGCTAAGATCATAAGTGTATGGAGAATACAACTCCATAATACATCCTCACTCAAACTTCCTTATTAGCTAAATTTAAGTCTACTTTTAAGTCAGTGCTTAAGCTGAAGGTAGACGAACTGCAAAATCTCCCCTATTCTGGGTGGATCGCCTGAACAACCTATCAAAATATAATTTATCTCCTCTAAACTAAGAAAATTTCGGCAGCGCTTCCCATAGGAAAAATGTCTTTTCATAATTTATATAAGCCGAGATATGAGAGCAGAAATAATCTCTAACTCTGGAAAGTCAAATTATGTCTAACTCTCTGATTTAGTAGAAATTTTGGCATCACTCCCTTTAGAAAGGGAGACTTCCCAGATTTATACTAAGTCAGATATGAAAGCAGAATTAATCTCTAATTATGGAAAGTCAAATTTTGTCTTACTCTC